TGTCAAAATCAGTGTATTCTTATCTCTATCAAGTTACTCCTGCCTAGTTGTCAGGTTCAACCTTGACAGGAAAAGTAACTGGAAGCCTCTCAGTGAGAGCCTAATACAAGAACAGGTGATTTTCAAATGTGTCACACAGCTTGGAGTGTTAACCCCCAAAGGGAATTAGGGAGATGCCCTGTTTGAGAAGGCAATCTGCAAAACCCTTTAAATGGTCAAGAGGAAGGCCATCACAGCCATACCTTTGCCTTTAAGAGTTTGCCATGAAACATACTACTACACTTTCCACAGAACGTGAATTCTCATTTGCTAAGGATTCTGAATCTTAACCATCAGTAGCCCAGAGTTGCCAGATGCCCTGGATGGGTCATGTGTCTTGGACCTTGCCCACACCTTTGCAGTGTGGGGATCCCAAGGTGGAAGCCTGGACTTTCAAAATCTGTGTATGGGATTATACTGGACATGCTTGTGAGCCTGTCTTGACTAATGGATGTGATGGGCCTTGCCCATTCAGCACTGATGTCCCAACAAAGATTCTGAGGTTGAACTAACCTTCAGCATGCTTGGTATCTTGCACTAAAAGGCCACTAACACCATTCTGATTGTCCCAGACTTGTCATCTGACCAGATTTCCTGACCTACCAGTAGTCGAGGTGGGCTTTCCTACTGATGAAGCCACCCATCTTTGTATCTCCGCTGGACAGAAAACTGGAATCCCATTTGGCATGATGAACTATAGATTGAAAAGCATCAATATTTCATTTAGGGATCAAATATGAAATCTTGCCTATATCCAATATCCTGGCAGGAAACCAGTATTCCCAAAGATTTAGATTAAAAAATTCAAAGTTTAGAAACTGACTTTTCACTCACAATACTACTTACATAGAAAAAAGAAACAAAGGAAATAGTATTATGATTTCCCCCTGGAAAAATCCTCTTATTACTTTCTCAATCTGACCATCAGGATTTGCTCTCAGAGGAATATGCAGCCCCTCAGGGTGCCCAAGGCACATAAGCAGCAGAACAAGTACTGCGGCAGTTGAAAAGCAGCCTTGTCTGTGTTGGTAAAAAAGTTAAGTAATTCCAAAGCACCTGATCATCACTTGAAAATCTTCCTAGGCTCATTTGTTAGACTGATCAGATTAGGATATTGACTAGTTAAGTATTGTCTAGCCTGTAAAAGAAAGATACTAATGAAAGAGCTTTACAAATATCCTGGGAGAACAGGAAAGTGAAATATGGAAAATGGCTCAAGTTGTATAAAAACCATAAGAAGTTCTTACGATTTCATCTGATAAGAGTAAGTAGACAAGCCCATGAAAACCCTCTGGAAGCAAACTAATCGTCCTTATGCAATGGAACAAACAGTTTTCATGTGGAACTTTTCTGTTCTTTTTTTAGAAATGTAAAATAAATTGAGCAGACCCCACAGTGCAGCTAGGGAACAGGAATTGTTCTATGAATTAAATATCTATGACTTACTTTGTAGCTTCCAGAAGGATTTGATTTTTATTTGTCAAGAAACTCCAAGATTCACCACTCCCTGACTATTGTCGGCACTCAGGCCCATTTCTACATTTCATACAATGCTAATCCGATGAAGAAAAGCTCCGATTGATAGTTGCTGTTTACTCATGACTTTAATGGAAGTATTAACGTCTCTCAAACTCTGTTCACATGCCTCTTACAGCATGTGTACTCAACACACAGTGGAACAATAGGATCATGCATGGGTCGCCTTCCTGCCCCCTTGTTGGCCCAACCTACTCTACCTCAGGCTCTATTTTAGGGATAACAGATAATACACATCTGTTCAAACTAATGTACACAGACCTACAGCATATAATTCTAACCCAAAAAAGAAGGAATGGGGGAGAAGGCTTGTAGAAGCAAATACATCTCGGTGCTACTTATACTTGCCCAAAATTATTTATTTTCTTATATCCATGTTCTCTACTCTTTTGGCCTTCAGATGTTTTGGACTATAACTTCCATCAGTTCAGTGTGGCCAATTGTCAGGAATGCTGAGAATTGTACTCCAAAAGTCTGGAGGGCACCAGATGGAGGAAGGATGCCTTACACCACTTACTTACAATATTTCGATGCTACTTTAATTAAACTTTATTTAAAATAAAATATATAAAAATCTTAAAATATATAAAAATCTAGTAAACTAAAAATACAAATGATAAGGTTTTTCTCTCACACATATATTTAACCATTTCATTACACATATAAAAGCTTTGGAAATAATTGGAAAAATCTAGAACATAAGCAGCTTTCTAAAATAGGAATGTTTATACTTCCATTGTACATATTAGTAACCTGAGAAAGGTATAAGTTTTATAATGCTGGGGGTTTTGCAGAAAATTGTGCTTATGAGAAAATTTCCCACCAGCTTAAAATCAGGAGAGAACTCATTAGCACAATCAAGATGTTTATGGTATAATGAAAGAATGTCATGTTAACTGTATGTGCTGTATAACTACTCAATATTTCTGCAAAAGACAAATGCAGTTGGAATGAAACATTTGTAGAGAAGGGAGATCAATGAAATGAATATATAATGCAATCCCATGGTCCCTGAGAAGATCTCCCAGTTGTGTATTATTTATTAATTTATTGTATATGCCACCCTATTAGCCATAAGACTCTCTGCGCAGCTTACAACATGGTATAGGATATATCAGAATTCCCAACCTGAAGACAGAAAGAGGTTAACCATCCAAGGGCAAAATTTGACCCTCCCTCCCAACCCTGAGTAAATTTCCACAACTGGTGTTACTAAAGCATTGACAGGGAAAGGAGGCAGCATGTCATTAGTATGTTAGAAATTATTTGTGTGCGCACACAGGGATATGTAAAGTGAATGTAATGCAATCCCATGCTATCAGCCAACTCATAAGGTATTACTTCATTGACAATTTTGATGATGCCCAGATTGCAATACCAATTTGCAATATAATATTCAGGTCATGAATACATCCTTTACTTGGACCTAACAGCTGAGCTTAAAGTTTTATTTTCCCAGCCTGCAGGGAACAACAGGGGTATACACAATTTCTTATACAGTACTACTTATTAATGGTGATCCATATAGAATTCTACAACGCAGGATATAGTTTAGGTAACCTGATTGTCCAGGGAATCCTCCAGGAATTTTCCAGCTTTATACTGGAAGTGCTCTTCATCTAGAGGGCACCAGGCTGGGAAAATATAAGTTAAAGGTTCTGCTAAAAAGGTGGGATGGGGACTACCAAAAACCAGGCAGAGATCTGTTTTGTTCTGAATGATTCTCCATCACCCAGCAGCCCTGTGTACCATTCCATGTGGTTCAGGAAAAACAATGAATATGCTTTGTTCATTGTTAGGGGTGTCAGGCAGTTGCAGGGAATGCAGGTGAGGAGAAATGACCCTTCCGTGAACTTCCTTATGTTCACATTTTAGTATTTAAGCCATGTTTTATTAGTCATAGCCCAATAAAACAGGCAGACACCATCCTTCCAACTTCTGCACAACCCAGCCAATATTAACCTCCGGTGTATCCCTTCCCCTTTGAGAGGATCAACCCGAACTAAGGAATAAAACTGTAAATTGAGGGCAATAATGATGATTTTGGAATTTCCGTACACCATTCCTTTGTAAGGCTCCACTAAGAAATCTACAACATTCCTTAAAATGTTGCTACCCATACAGTATCAGAAAGAAAAATAACTATACAAAAATATCCAGATTCCAAAATGATTTCATGTTTAAAGTAAACAAACCAAGTGTATGTTTCTTGTCTATTTCTCTGAGTGTTTCAAGTGTGCTTCCAGCAATTAATCTTAGAAATAATAACCAGATCAAATATTTTCTTCAGTAAGTAAACGAAGGTCAGACAACTCGATTCCATTTTGAGGAGGCTTATCAGATGGTAAGGGCATTAAGTATATCACTACCTGTAACCATACCGCAATACATGCAAGCAAGGGCTCAAACCATCTCACTTTATGCTCTTGCATATTTTTAAAGGGAAATTGAAGATTTCCTCTTAAATCCTTTCCTTTTTCCAATCTAAAATCACTAGGAAAAGTTTTTTTTTTAAAGAAGGCATTCTAACTTACATATTATGTAATAATTATAGGTTTGTGTCAAGAGAAGCATAAACTTGCTTGTGCAAGGGGATGCTTCCATCAACTCTTCCCACCACAGTCCCTTCATCCACCAGAAATTCACTTCTGAGGGACAAAGGGTGTGGCTCTGCTTGATTCCAGCCAATTCTTAATTCACACACCAAACTACAGTCTCCCAGAAACCCCCATGAGTAGCTTTTCAGGGAACAGAAGAAGCTGCCACAGTAGCAAGCAGGAGCTATGAAGTCCTCCTGCATTTACAACTGCTCTGGATGCAACCTATGGAGTGTTTTAGAACGGCTAAATAAGATCATTCAAGAAGCCATCTTGAGATGCAAAAATGACAAAAGAAGCATGACTGGAAGACAAGAACACATGAAGACTGTATTTGCAAAACATGAAAAGAATGTTTATCAACACAGGAATACTTCCTACTAGAAGACACAAGCAAAAGAATCTGTTTCAGAAAATTATTGATATAGCACTTCCAAATAGTAATATGTGTGTGCCCAGGTTTTCACATTTCATTTCTTGGAAAAACATAAACAGATATGCAGATATTATACGTTCACTATTACGTTACATATTTTGGCATTTTTGCCTCCCCTCATGCATTTAATACTTGTAATTCATTTAAAATCTATGAATCTTCAGTTTTATTTAATCACCATTCAACTAATGTAACAAAATGGTAACTAATTCCCTGCAATGTGGTATGAACTGATGAAATAGTTCTGAGCCACAAAGTTAAGGTGAGACTAGTTAGTTTCCCCAGAACAGTTTCTCATAGAACAGCTAGCGACAAATACCATGCCCTCCCTGTCTAAAATCACTGGGAAAAGTATTAAAAAAAACAAAACAACAGAAGGCATTCTTACTTACATATTCAGGTTTTAATTTCTTGTCACCTCCTCGTACAGCCACTTTCTCTAGTTTGTCTATAATGGGCATTATCATTTCCTCATCTTTTAGTCTTAGTTCTTCATGTATTATTTCAATGTCACGAACTGGTTCAACACTTCCTTCAACATGTGTGATATCATCATCATCAAAGGATCCTTTGCGGGAGGACAAAAATCCAGATGTTAAGCACTATTCTTTACTAACAAATACATACATTGGGCTGGTTCACAGAAACAAAATAAGCCAACATGGCTTACCTAAACCATGTTGTGTTATAGGGTTACTGCAGGGTTGTTTCCACCTCCAACAAGCCATGCTGCCTGGGTTCAGACAACATGACAAGGTGGTGATTATGGAAATTATGTCCATTTACAGAAGCTTATTTTAATTGTACAGACAGGTCACTGCCTAAAGGACCACAAAAATACCACATCAGATGGAACATCATCTAGTAGACATGGGCATCGCAAAACGTAATTCCAAGCATTTAAGTGCTATTCTGAACAGGAAATCTGTCACAGTATTTTTTACTATCAAGGTTAATACAATCCTGAAGTATCCTGAGGTGGCCAAATAAAACTATTATTATACATCACTTAATAAATATAATGGCTCAGAATAATATAAGAATATTTAAGCCATTTATTAGATAGTGTAAACATTAATATTACAATGAAGTTTATGTCAAACATTTTTTAAGTTCTATAGTATAGTAATGGGTTTCCAAGGGAAACATGATTTACGGGAAGGGAGGGGGAGGAGGGGGAGAGAGAGAGAGAAGGCCTGAAATCATCTGGCAGACCTCTTCTCTGCTTCAAACTACTTTATCACTATGGTTCTGACGGTGATTAGATAATGAACCACTCAGACACACAATTTACACAGCAGCTAATTTCATCGGTCTGATTTGAGGGTATGGTTTTTAGGGGGCCATCAAAGAAGCAGATGAAGGTGCATTTGTCATATATGAGTGACAACCATTCACACTATCTCAACAAAATGGTGCTGGCCCTTATTAGAAACACATGCTATTATCACATATTTAAAGTGTGGTTGAAGCCATAATTTCAAATTGCCAACTGGAAACATAAGGGTAAAACAACCAGATATTACTGAAGCATGTGTACTGACTTTATGCCCCTCTGAAGACATAATGTGGCAACATAATTCAACTGAAATAACTTGACTTATCAATAAAGAATACCATGAAAACAAAAATTAAACATATTTTGTAATAGTAAACTATAATTTGAAAATTTAGACCTATCTGTGAATAATTCATGACACAAATTTTAGGCCCTATTTAATAACAGAACAGATCCCACTAAGTCCAGGAACGATGTTTTAATCACATTTTTAGCATGAATACTATTTTTTTGTGTTGCCAAAAACGTTCAGTTTTTTTGTATTCATTATCTAGCTTTCTAGAGCAGCATCTCATGACATAGTCTTTGTTCTATCTGTGTCTAGACCATGGAATTTATTGCTGATAGTTGCAATCAGCTCTGCAACAGCTAGAATGTATGAAACAGATACCTAGCACGTATTTCCAAAAGATGCCAATCTATACATATCAGGTCAATTTACACATCACTTTTTACCCATTGGCAAATGACCCTATTTCTGTATCTTGAAAACTATGAATGATAAAACATAGTCCAGATTATGTAACTGGGAAATATTGATAGCAGCTTCTCAATTACTATACTTAGGTCTAAAAAAGTTATTTTCTGCCATGCACAATTGTGAGGTTTTTCTGAATAGCTCTCCTAAATCCAAGGAGCCACATAGAGTTTCACAGATCAATATCAATAACTTGAACTGTATTCAAAACCAAACTGGAGATCATTGATGACTTTTATTATATCAGCAGAAAGTGTTTCAATCAACCAGTGTCAAATGATAATCTGGCCATACTGTTGATAGTTTCCTTCCTCCTTAAAAACAATTCTGCATTCTCAAAGGCTTGTGATCTTGAAAAAAGTTAAAGAAAAATATTAAATTCAGTTCACACCTCAGACTTTGAGTTACTGAATACTCCTCACTAATGTTAGTGAATACTCCTCATTAACATTATAAAATGCTTGAAGTGCCTAGGTAAATAAATAGAAAATTTGCCCACCTTGCATAAGCGCTTGTTATAAAGTTGCCCCTTTCCCAAAGATGATATGAGATTATTACATGGGCATTACTGAAAAATAAAGAACAATTCAGCTGACCTTGCTTGTTCACAGATCTGAACAGAATAGCAAAATTCTCTTCATGGATGTGTGCCCTTCCAGAAATGACCATTTCCACTTGTTTTGTGGTGTTTTAGGAACAACAACGGTCCTACAGTGCAAGCAGTCAGTTCCACAACCACAATGGGATATATCTGTAAGAATTTCTGCCTTTTCTTTCAGACTCATTCATCAGTTATACACATGACTATGCAACATAAAGCAAACTGTAGGGGCTACATTTATGCGCTGGAATTCAAGGTACTATTCAGCTAGTTCTATAGTCTCAAGAAGTACTGTCACCCATCTTAACTACTGGAGTATTCTATTCCTCTCTCTCACTTTAAAACTTTAAGTTTTGTGAATTCCATGGCATGTGTCACCTTTTTTGCTGATTATGGCCTGCAAATTTTCAGCCTTTATCATTCCCTCCGCTGGCTACCAAAAGGTTTCATATTCAATTTAAACTATGTTCTCCTGTCTTAAATGCTCCGTGTTCTTTCCCTTCTTTGTTTAGCTTCTTAATGCACTTTACTAGGGGTAAGTTCCAGTTAACACAGCATTTAAACATTTAACCACGTTCCTGCCTGTGTTCTTTGTTCTTCTTGTTTTGCTTCAATTGAGCTTTCCCCAGTGGTAAACATATGCAGTAGACATGGTTTCATTTCATCCGCTCTTTCTATCAACATGGATCTTGACACAATGAAAGTAAATCTTCTCTCAACATCTCTGCATTGTGTTACTTTGTCTCCCCATCACAAATGTGCAGTATCAAGCAGTCTTGGGCATGACAGTATTGTCATTTTAAGAAATCACTGCATGTATAATCTGTCCTTGGCATGTTGAATGCATATGTGATACATCAATTTCATTTCTAGTAGCTTACACAACAAGCAAACTTAGAAATAGCATTCTGTCATTTCCCTTCACTTTCTATTATATCTGAAAATGCAGCATGCCACTGAAAAAATCTCCTACATTATTAAAACAAACAATGATTGCAAGTGGAGCCTGATCATTCACCTTTCTCTTAGTAATTACTATCAGGGCATTTGTCCTCAAAATCAGCAACTTTCCTCTCAAGTCCCATGAGCAGATGAACTTTTAGATCTTCATGTTTTCTTTTCCAGTGAACAAACACCCTGTAGTGCTGTCTCACATTTAAATAGGAAACATATTTTGCAAACACAACTTCAGATTAGCAATCACTCAAACCAATATGAACAGAGTTGCACTCCATATATTTGCAACATTCAGGAGTGCGCCCTTACTATTTTGGGTTTATATGCTAAATCAAGCAGGATGAATGTGTGTGAGAGCAATTAGCACTATGTTCTTAAATCGTTGCACCCTTCAAGAACAGAGGAGTCACAGGCCATTAATACAACAATTTCTAGAATCGTTTGCTGCTTGCAATGCTTACATGACACATGCTCAGAAGGGAAGTTTATATCAAGCCTGTATTCTATGATGTACTGAAATAGTAAACATGAAGGAGGTATTTCTGCTAGGCAGCAAGCTATCAAAAGCTTTTATACATCAGTTTTATTATTTAATGATATTCTACTTAGCCCAATATGGGTGGCTTTAGAGACTAAACTAAACCAATGAAGCACAATCCCACCATCCAACCATTTAAGAAGCTTGTCAGAGCAGGGCAAAGGGGTGGGGGGAAAGACCCTGCCAACCCTCATTCTGTGTAAAAGCTTATCGCTGCTGCATTAGCTTTTACAGTATTTCCAGGAATGCAACCCCAGCTACTGCAAACATTAAACAACATTTAGCCAGGTACAGATTCTTCTAGGCAGGCTTCTGAGCATGTAGTATCATTGCTGGAGCAAGGCAACAATATTATACTACAGTGATACTATTGCTTTACTTATCAGTTGCATCTGTATCCAGACTATACAGCAAATAGAGGCCTGATGGACATTCCCATGTTGATTTTTTTTTAAAAGCATACAGAATTTGAAACAAAGAACTTCAAATATAAACTATGTTGCAGAATCAGCACAACAGTCAGTGAATACATGTTAGGCGGCACATCATCCTCTGGGAAATATGTACTGGGCATGTTGACATAACTGCCTTCTGTCTCTTATTTACATTTGCAGAAAGGATCTAAAAAATGCCAATCTACAGAAAGCAACGTAGGAGAATACAGGAGTGATGACATAACTGAATGATGCAGTTTCTGCAAAGAGTGCAGACTCTGTTCGCAGTGTAATTAATATAGTGCAACACACATAATGAATTCCAATTGTGGAAGCAAATGTTTCTCAAGAGCACAAATTACCTAAGGGAGCTCATCATACTCAGCTGTCATTGAACTAAGCAAAACTTATTCATAAAAGTTTATACATGCTATCAAACAGTGCAATTAACATGCTAATATTCCTTACAAAAATGCAGCTGTATGGACACTCCTGCTCACTGTTCCAGGAATGTCTTTTTTTCAAGGTACCTCATTCCTGTTTTTATATCCTAGAAACCCAGGATCCTGTAGCCACTGAGCATGCTTAATCCCAATTTGTTCAACCACAATGATAGTTTCTCAAAAGCTTAATTTAATATAGCTGTTATAATTCAATTGCTTGAGGTTATTACTAGTATATACCAATGAGACTTAACATATTGCAGAGTGGAGTACTTCCCATTCAGGGTTCCATTCAATCACCACCATCGTCCCAGTTTCCCTTCCCCCACATGAAACAGTTGACCTGCAGGACATGGGATAAGGCACTTAGGTGAAAAGACACCAGATTTAGACCAGACACCAGAAAGAATTTCCTCCCTGCTAGAGCAGTATGACAATGGAACCTATTCCCTGGGGAAGTTGCAGGATCTCCCTTGCTGGAGACATTCAAAAAACTCCCGAACAGTCATCTGAGTGGGATGCTGTAGCTTAATGTCCTGCAACATCAGGGGGTGGACCC